TTAGAGGAGGAATTTCTTTTTTGGAGAAATTCCTATGATGAAAGGTGCCCAAACCATGAATTTAGATCAAGGAATCAAAGAACAAATAAATAAATCAACAACCTCAGAAATGCTGAAGATTTCCAAGGTGAGACATGACAAAACCAGATTTGATTGACCCAATATAAAATTATAGTTATTGTCTTAGGAGGTAGCAGGTGAAGAATGAAAGAGTTTGAGTCAATATAACACAAATCCAAGGACTGAAGCCATCAGTCAAGGTGCCCTATAACTTAGCCCCCTACCTATTTTTCCCAATTTAATTTCTCTCTACTCCCTTTCATATACTTGTGCTCCATCTAACCAATCCAAATGTTCTCCGTTCATACTGCACATTTTCTTATTTCTGTGTTCATACTGCTGCCTCTCTCCAAAATGTCTATTTCCCCACCCCTCCACACCTCCACCCCTCTCCTGGCCAATCTCCAAACTCTCTTCATCCTTCAAGGACTAGTTTAAATGACACTTCATCCAAGAAACTTTCTTGCATCGCTCCAGGTATATACAAACTCTCCAAAGTACTTAGTCTATATCTTATCTTCATTGTATTTGTTATTTTTCTTAATTTGACAAATATTGAAAAACTTTTATGTGCCAACCTCTATAGAGCCATGCATTTATATACTTGATTTATCTACCCATTACACTATTAACTTTTTGAACACAGGATATTCTTGTCTGATTCATAGTAAGTTCTGATTCATAGTAACCAGTACTAATGCCTTGCCCATAGTAGGCATTCAAAGATGGTTTGAAGGAAGGAAGGAAAAGAGGCACACTATTTAAAAAGATGGCTGTATATGGGCTGGAGATAGCTATAATAGCAGGTATGATTTGCTATAGAGGGTGTAGTGATCACAGAAGGCTTCAGGAAAGAGATGGCATTTGAGAGGGGTCTTAAAATAGGGTAGGTAGAAATTAGAAATTGAGATGGGAGGAGAAATATGTCAGTTGATTGGAATATGGGGTTCAGAAGGAAAGCAGAAAAAGGTAAGGTTGGAAAAAATTTGATGTCAGGCTAGAAAGGTCTTAAATTCCAGGCAAAAGGATCTAGACTATTTTTGTAACCAAAAAGGAGTGATTAAAAGTGCTAGAGATTCCACTGATATATAAATGGGGGTAGGAGAGACCAGAATGATAGATAGATTGGACAGAATTAAAAATTAAAGAATTAAACCAGCCTCTATTTCCAGCTTCCTTGCTCCCAAATTTTTTTCAATTTTTGCTGTTCAAATTTTAAATGGATGACCATGTTACCTGAGCAATAACCTACAGAACTGACCTTATAAGCACACTTCAGTTTGGTAAGACAATTTTTAAATATATAGCAAAATCAATCTCTCATAGTTCAGGACATTTATAAATTGTGATTGTGCTATAAATTGTAAGGAGAAGGAAGTAGGAAACTTCTCTAAAACTCCTTTCAAGGTGTTTGCTATCTCACATCTCTGGCCAAAGTGTACTAGAAGGTAAGAACCATAAACATCTCCTTCCTTACCTCCTTTTCAAGGTTACTCTTTTTCAGCCGCTAAATCTGTTAGACATTCTTAAGTTTCCTGCTCTGTCAGTTTGCTGTCTTAAACATTCAGATTCAGTCTATTTATACATTCCCTCTTGTTAGTCATCCTAACAAGAGGGACGGCTGTCACTATGTCTGCCCACTTCACTGGAAGCCTGGACAAGGACACAACCATCCTCTGGGAAGCCTGTGACATATGAACTACAGATCTCCTCTTGTTGGAGGAGGAAAAAAAAATCACAGATCTAGAAGCTTTGCAATAGCTCCTACTCTTGCCAATTTGTCTTCCCATTCTTTGGGAATGAGGAGACAATTAATCAGGTCATAAATACAGTTTCTTTTGCTGTCTTTCAGGATCAGACCTATACAAAGAATAGTCTGAGTGGAGCCATTTAATGAAAGGTAATCACTGACCAAAAATATCTCCCTAATACTACCTGAAATCCACTAATTAGGGATTTGTTTGAGTTAAAAAACAAACATGATTGTAGAAAGGATAAGTGAGAGGGGACCTTGCTACCAGGCTCTTTATTAGGAAAACAATCTGGTTAACCTAATCCACACAAAGGAAGTAGGGGTTTGATTTTGGGGGAAGGGAGAAGGGAGAAGGACAAAAGATAGAAAATCTGTGAGATCATTTTGGAATATGGTGTATTTCCAAGGAGAAATCCAGGGAGGATCGGAGAGAACTAAACAGAATGAGGGCACTAGGATCCTAAAAGGCAGCCAAGTTAAGAAGCAGAAAAAGTAAGAAAGAGCCATAGCTCAGAAGGTTTGGTGAATGAGCTCGAAAGGTTGACTTTACCTAGAGCTATTGCCAAAGTCCTCATTTACACCCAAAGGTTCGACCCAGCTCTCACTTTCTGTGGGAGCATCCAAAATGAGGTGGAATGTACCACAACCTGGGTAGGGTAGTGTGGCCAAATGAGGCAGGGAGTGGTAGATATGGAACTGAAGCCAAGAAAGAGGTTTCAAAAACAGAGCCAAATGAGCTGGAACCCCAAATGGGATCCAGTTCATTAGAATTACAGGTATTTGGGGACTTCTATGTTTCCCATCCTAAGTTTTATTCAAATTGTTTATGCTGGAAATTCTGAGTATGCCTGGGTCAAAGAAATACGTGATCATCAGCCACCATTCAGAATTCACCAAGCTCCAACAAAACTGCTTCACTTGAGCTCAGAAAATGAAAACTGCAATAAGGCAGAAATTTGTAGAAACACAAACAATGAAAGTTAGTTTCCCCATAGACATTTCCAAAACAGATAATTACATTAATTATTTTCAAAAGTCCTTCAAGCCAAGGGTAATACACGTGTTTGGAGTGAAAACACTCAACAGTAATGGTGTTGCCTCCATACCACCTCCATCTGCAACTACCACTGCTCATTCCCCTCTCAAGAGATGTCCAGTCCTGGTGAGGGCTTGCCTGACAAGGCATAGTATCCTCCTACTCGCATAGAGCCAGTGATATGACCCTTCCAAGGTAAACAAGCACCACCCGCTCATCTCATGTCTGTTCCTCTCAATTCAACAGCTTCTTAATCTACTATGGGCATAACTATCTCAATGCACCTCTACCCCACTGCCTTTTTATATGTATAAATATATTTCTAATCCTCTCCTACAGTGCATGACCAATCCCACCTTAACCCTTCCTGGCTCACTCCCACTCCCCTTCTACTGATGTGCCAGTGGCAGAGGCTCTCCAGAAGTTGACCATTTACCTCTCAGACATCTGACCCTGACAAATTGGGTTCAGTCTTTCTAATCTCACACTATTTCAAAGAGATTTAGAGAAGTTATTTCAGCTTCCTTATTATTTACTCAGATAAAACACTGCACACTCCCATTCTAGTCAGTCCCCGTATCTCCCTCATAACACACAGCCTCTCCACACTGTTTAAATTAAGACCAGAGCTAACAAAAGTTCCCTACTCTTTTTCCCCATCTACTGTTTCCTACTGTTTTCCCCACCTCTATAGCTACCCTATCTAGTTCTGTTAACTGTTGTTATAAAAATTTGGTAATGGCCCCAGAATTTGAAAATTACTGTGGCACTTACATACTTGCTAAAATCTTTGCTTCTTCTGCATCAATTATTCTACTATGACTCAATATCCCCATTCTTGAGTAACTCTCTCTTCTGCTTTACACACTGTCGTCTCCCCCTTATAGGTGGCCAAGTCCCAGCATCATTCCTTTGCAGTCAATTATAAATCCTGTTCTAGAAGTCAGCATTCTTTCAACAGATGTTACCATGTAGATAAGCTCTAACCTTCCTCTTCTGAATCTTATAGCACTATGTAGAACTAATAGCACCATCCAGTTACATTTGCACAAATTCCTGACCTTACCAAATGCTTTCACATTCATTTTCCTCTTATCTGAGCCTCTCAACATCCCAGAGAGGAAGCATTACTCTTCCCATTTTATAGATGAGGAAACCAAGATTCAGCAAGGATTAGGTAACTTATACAGAGTCAAGCAGATATTTACATGCTAGAGTCAAGACTCAAACTGGGAACTTCTACATCTGACCCCAACTCTTTCCCCACGCACATTTCTGAGAATAAACCTAGCTGCCAAGCAAGCCCCACATCTCTTGTGTAAGTCTTAAAGGGGATGCTGCAGGTCCTGTGATAGATACTTGTTTTGGTCCCTTGCTCCACATCACTGTTTTTATTCTATTTCCTACTCCTAGCACGAAGTCTTGACACACAAACTCATCCCCCTCCCAACTTCCCACGGATCCTTACTTCTGCCATGTTAACCAAGTACTTTTCTTCTGCTCTGAACATAGTCTTGCCTCTTTTCCACTGATACTCGCACTGTCCTCTCTTATTTAATGACTTACTCACTCACACTCTTTGGCTTAAATCCCACAAACTCTGTATAAGTGTACATTTATTTATGGTTTTGAGTCCACGTTCTCGGTCCTTCCCCTCTCCCACCCTGTTCAAAGCTCTCCATGTTAGAGTGTAAGCTCCTGGCCCAAAAGGCTCTATTTAGCCAGCTGTGGGTACCACCCAGCACAATGCCTTGCATTCAAAGTCATATAAACATTGACGATTATGATCTTTAAAAAAAAAAAAATTACTCCTGTCCTTGATCTGAAATACTGACAGAAACCAGCTGCCAAAACCACTAAGAGCATTATTTACTTCAATTTAGAGTTTCTGAATAGGAATTAGCTTAAAAGAGCTGTAAAGTGAAAGACAAGGGCACATTTGTTTACACGTGGTCTCAAAGGTATAAAACGAAATACTGAGTAATTTGTTATCAGCTTCCCATCAACAACAGTCCAGCTCTACTGCATAGCAAGGTCACCTTGGGTAAGAGGATCCTAGTTACCAGCATTCTCATTACGAAAAAGAGGCGATCAGCTATTCCAATTGCACATGTCATCTGGAAAAGCAACAGCTAGCTGCATATTACTTACCGGTTTATCCTTGATGGTGGGGCTCGACACACACAGGTACAGTTTCCCGTCTTCTTCTAGGCAGGCATCTATCAAAGCTTGTACTGAGCTCTCTTCCTGGAACAGCAGAAAGGCATAGCCTTGGGGAGAACAAAAACAAAAGGGTGGGGAGAGGAATCAGTAAATTAAACTCAAAGTACCAGTTCAAAATTTATCTATTGTTTCACTTTGGCAAATTCTCACTAAAATCTAAGAACTTGAAGTGGGACACAGGGAAGTAACAGTCACTGAGACCTCATGTGCCAGACATTGTATTAGAAGCTCATAGACATTACCTTGCTTAATTCTCATAATTACTCAGGGAAGCAGGTTCAGAACATCTCTATGGAATTTCCACTAAACACATCTGGTCATCTTTAATGAGAGCAGGCAGACTCACCACTGGCCTGAGCCACAACTACCAGCCACAAAACAAGTATCACCTGCCCTCCAACTTCCACCAAGCTTTAGGCTTGACACATGCTACAACATGGATTCACCTTGAAAATATTATGGTAAGCGAAAGAAGCCAGTCACAAAATACTACATATTCTATGATTCCATTTACATGGAATGTCCAGAATAGGCAAATCTAGGGACAAAAAATAGATTAGCGGTTGCCTAGGGCTGAGGGACTGGAGGGAATAGGTACAGGGTTTCTTTTTGGGATGATGAAAATTTTCTAAAATTGATTGTGGTGATGGTTGCATAACTCTGTGAACACACTGAAAACCACTGAACTGTACGTTTTAAATGGGTGAACTATATGGTATGTGAATTATATCTCAACAAAGGTTGTCCAAAAGAAAAAAGCCCAACAATAGGCTAGTGTATTTTACATGTTACCTCTGATGATGAAGCTGTTTCTCCAAGGATACTCTCCTGTCTCATAGCAGAGTACACGATCTACAAACATGGACACTAGCTGTAGGATTTCCAGGGACACAGCCAGCTTTGTTCAGTTCAAAATCAGTAGGATTTACTGAGTAACTGTTACAAGTGGGACACAATCTATACATTATGAGAAAACTGAAATGAGTGAGACTAGGTTCCTGCTGTCAAGAGACTTAGGTGGTATGGGGCCTGCCCAGTGGGGTAGCGGTTAAGTTCACGCGCTCCACTTCGGCAGCCTGGAGTTCACCGGTTTGGATCCTGGGCGTGGACCTACTCACCGCTCATCAAGTCATGCTGAGGTGGCGTCCCACACAGAAGAGCTACAACTCTACAACTATGATATACAACTATGTACTGGGGCTTTGGGGAGAAAAAAGATAAAAGAGGAAGATTGGCAACAGATGTTAGCACAGGGCCACTCTTCCTAAAAAAAAAAAAAAAAAAAGAGACTTATGTGGTAGAAGAAACAGACATTTAGACAATTAACTACTCGTTACAAAGCTGAGGGAGATAAGTGGGGACAAAAATGCCACAGGAGCCCAGGAGCAAGGACTGTGAAGTGAGAGAATTGGCAAAGACTTCAAAGAGGACAGTAGATGTTCAAGGGGCCAAATCTGGCACTTGCTGCCTCACTGGTATTCATGAATGACAGCTGAGCAAAGGCCCATCATGAGCTAGTGTATGCGTGAGTATTCAACTATTCAACCTCTCTACAACCCCTCCAGGTTTGCTAAGTCTCTCAGCTGTCACCTCCACTCCGAGTCCTGGTACTGACCTCAGAGGAAACCATCACCAATACGTTCTCCTCTGGTGCGTTGATTGCGTGCCAGAAAGATATAAGTGGTGGAGAAGAATAAGAACCCCCATATTCAGAAGATTCTCACACATTAAACAAAGATGTTAATCGACTGGCCTAGAAGCAAAGCTCTCTGGAGTTCTGGGCAGCACATAATGACAATGGTAGTGGATAATAAATAATGGGTACTCTTTTTTTATCCTTTTTCTCAACTCCTCATCTACTACGGAGCATCTAAGCAAACAGAGCAGGAAAAAGATAAACCACTACCCAGCACACCAAGAGTGACCATGCAACACGCAAAAGCCAACACACAGGGGAAAGCACCAAGCCCACAGGAGTGGGTATGCAGCCCCAAGAGGGAGGCTGCCTACGTGGTAGGACCCAGAGCTGTTTTCTGGGCTTTGCTCCCAGGCTAGATGGGTCAGAAGATTCAGCCTGTGGCCAGGCAAGAAAAATAAAACCTAATTGCAAAACCAGAAAAGATAATACATCATTGCTTCATATTCTCTTTTAGAAACAGTATCAAACTATCACCAAGCCCCAAGGAATCTATTAAAAGTAGTGTTTTCGGGCCGGCCCTGCGGCTTGGTGGTTAAGTGCGCGCGCTGCGATGCTGGTGGCCTGGGTTCGGATCCCGGGTGCGCATCGAGGCACCACTTTTCCGTTCATCCTGAGGCCGAGTCCCGCATACAGCAACTAGAAGGATGTGCAGCTACGACATACAACTATCCACTGGGGCTTTGGGGGGAAAAAATAAAATAAATAAACTCTTTAAAAAAAAAAAAAAAGTAGTGTTTTCTTTTAATGTGAGAACATTAATTCCACTCGCCAAAGAGAATATTAGAGATGAGTGGGTTAAAAAATGCAAATATCACAAAGAGGCAGTCTCAGCACGTCCTCTCACACCTCCTGCCTCACCAGGTTAAATCCTGGTACAGATCTTCCACAAAGGTCCTAAGAGGCATACTGGATATCTTGTTCTTGGAGAGGACCCCGTCTGTGTACACTATGCACAGGCACATAAAAAGGCCTGCGGATGGGGCACGCTCAGTGAGCTGGGTCTTTCTCCAGCTCCTTGCCTCTGGAAGACCAGCAGGCTGACTGCACCCTTCCTGCACATCGCTGCCCACCCTCTACAACCTTCTGCATCAAATCCCACACTGGGTTCAATTTGGGCATCAGAGGAAAGGGAGGGAGTCTCCACATAGCAGCTGAGTAGCTACCACAAAAGCACGCAGATTTTCACTCAGCCTATCTCACAGCCATAAATGTTAACATTGTCAGTAGACAGAGTAAAAACTGGGAGTCACAAGTAAAAGCCTGTTACAAATATTATTACCAAGAAAAATACCTACAAATAACTTCTTTTCCTTTCCCAGGGAATGGCCCATAATACTTTACTAGGTTCTTCAGGATGGCTCTTTAGAACAAATAATCTTTTACAACAATCATCTCTACTCTCTGATCAGCAAGCTGCCACTTTCAGTAATGGCAATATTCTCTTAGCACTACAGATAAGGGGTGTGACTCAAGTCCAACAATTTCCTTCAACCCTACTTCCTACCTTGGGCCTTCCAACCAAAACAAAATCACCAGAAACATGCAAAATCACCCACAAAAACAACTTGATGATACCTTCACCTACTAAAATACCTTCTGATACCTCAAGGTCAACCAAACTCAGATGACAACAGAAATCAGAGGATTAAAAAAAAAAATCAGGAAGGAAGAAGGCTTCAAACACATTTCTCTTTTGATCTTCAGAAATTTAAGGCCAAAGTAAACAAAGTGGGAAAAGATCCCTTCAAGAATAACAAGATCTGGGCCGGCCCCGTGGCTTAGCAGTTAAGTGTGCGCGCTCTGCTGCTGGCGGCCTGGGTTCGGATCCCGGGCGTGCACCAACGCACCGTTTCTCCAGCCATGCTGAGGCTGCGTCCCACATACAGCAACTAGAAGGATGTGCAGCTATGACATACAACAATCTACTGGGGCTTTGGGGGAATAAATAAATAAAATAAAATAAAATAAAAAGAATAACAAGATCAATGTGAGATGGAAATTAAATCAATGATTTACTAAAAGGGAAATTCCACATGATACTGTGAAAAGAGATCTAGACTAGGAATCAGAAGGTCTGGATTTGGGTCAAAGTTCTAACATTTACTAGCTGTGTGGTAATAACAGCCAATAGCTAACAATAACTGAGCATCCACTATGTACCAGGCACTGTTCTAAGTGCCTTATATGTAACAACTCGTTTCATCTTCACACATACCCTGTGAGGTAGGCACTATTTTCAAGTCTTACAGTTAAAGAAATTGCACAGAGTGAATAAGTAACTTGTCTGAGCTCACCCAGTAAGTAGAATCACGAACTTGAATATTAACTTAAAGTTTCTGAGTCTTAGCTCTTTTCTCTGTAAAATGAAGAAACTTAAGTATTTGTCCCGATTGTCTTACAGAGATGTAGATTGTGAGACAATATATGTAAAGGTGCTTCGTAAACTAGGATACTGTGTGTCAATTTTTCTCTTACTGCATTTTCAGTTATTTATGTGATATGTAAAATTTAGTTGTGTTTTGCATATGGTCTCATTATAAAAATTAGAGTTCAGATTAATGATATACACTTTCTACTTCGCATTTGCAAGCATTTGATGAATAAAGGGTAATAATCTAGATACTAAAGAAAAATCTTAAAGTTATTTGAATGACAGGCTGAATATTACTGTAAACAAACAATAAACTGACTGAATATTTGTTTTCATATATCATTAGCCATTTCCACCAGGAGAGAGAATTATCAGATATGGTATTACATGCTGATTTTAACACATTCTTTAAATAAAAACCTATCATACCTACAAATTGAGCTCCTCAAACTGTCACTATGATGGCAGGGTCTTAGTTTGAAAGATATATAGAAAAAACTTGGCCAAAAAATTATGAACTCCCTCTGTTCTCCCTGCCCTCTGAGCCAGTAAGAGATAACAGGATTATAAAACTCCTTAAGTTTCAGAAATGGTGACCTTGTTTCCCAAGTACCTGAGGAATGTGTGGGGGCTTCAGAGATGTGGCGAGCTGTGAGAAGCCCTCAACTCAGAGCAAGTCTGTACGTGGAAATATGGGATCTTGGCGGGGGAGCAATAGGAACTCCTGGCCCTGTCACCATCACAACCCTGGGTTATGGGAAGAATGGATGGCAGGAAATTGCTTGCTTTCCCAGTGGTGCCAAATAGGTCGGGGGAAGGACGGTAGAACAGTGAGGGATTTTTGGACAAGCCTGAACTGACCAACGTACTTCTCTAGGGTAAGGAGGAACAGGAAGGTATGGGGGAGGACTTAACTAGGATAATTCCATTTCATTTGGCCAGGTTTTTGAAGAGTAAATTTAATTAAAAGATTTTTT